CCATATTGTCCTTGGTTTTTTGCTTTAGTCATCTTTAGTCCAGATGCAAGGTTCTGCGCAAGTCATTTGTGGACACGTCAGGCATTGCCATCAAGTTCTTTTCCAGCAGCTCTCAACGAAAAGGATTTCATTGTTCCAGGATGCGGTCAGGAGACTCTTCTCAGTCATGATCAACGAAGGAACTTGACAGACCATCAGGAAACCAGTCAATGGTTGGGGGGTCTCATGGTGCCGAAGCAGCTTCTCTCAGCTTTGTTTAGTTGGGGCCTTGGTTGATATGTGGTGTGTGTGTGTTTGATTGATTGCCTTTGTCTGTGTGCAGCGCTTTCAAAACGATCAATATCTACTTTACTGAGGTGGCATCAAATGTGTCCATGGCGCCATGATTGTCCACCCGGCTGCCTGTGATGGCTGCGTCGAGCTTGGGGCTATGCAGTTGAACTATGTAGCACTTGGTGGAAGCCCCGTTGAAGTGCACTACAAGTGTGCACGGGAGATTGTCAAGAGCCATCTCCTTCAGGCATGAGTGATTGGGACATCCTTTGTTGAATTTTTTCCCCAGTGTTTTTTCCCTCCCCATTGCTCTGATCACATCGCACAACATCCCCTTAGGCCTGGAAAAGCGGGCAGAGCCCTATGGACAAGTGCACCCCGCGTTACAAGGCTCAACCTCCAGCAGAAGACATGCCCAAAGCCATGGAACGACCACAGCTCAAGGTTTGCCAGGTAGTGAACGGCAAACTCGTGCTGCCCTCCGAAGGTGCCCTGGGATGACTCACAAGGGCAGCCTGATGGGTGGGATGCTTTTGGGTTGATGATACCGCTATGTTCCCTTTCAACCTTCTTGATGAAGAAGATGATAAGCAGAATGGTGATGAATCCCAGTTTGACGGTGAGAACCTCTCTTTGATGCCCGAGCCCATCGTTTCTGAGAACAGGCCCGTGGATTTGTCTTTGAAGGTGGTTCCTGAGAACAACCCCACGGCTTCTGAGGGTGAGCCCATGGCTTCTGAAGCTTCTGGCAACAAGAAGGCCACTTCTGAGGAGCAGTTGGAAAAGAAACGTGCTTCTTCCAGAGCTTGGCATCAGAAGTGGGAATCCAAAGCAGTTCTCAAGAAGCAGAAGACTGGTGAGGCTGGTGACGGTGAGCCAGCGCCAAAAGCAAAGGCAGCCGCGAAGCCGAAGTCATCACCGAAGGCAAAGGCAGCGCCAGTTTCGGTGCGCTCACTCATGGCGACCAGGGAAGAGCTTCTACAAGAGGTGATTGCGTCTTCATCTCCTGGTCCTTCAACTGCCAATGATCGAGATGACGCTCCTGATGATGATGAGGAGTACACACCCACAGAACCTGAACAGCCTGACACAGAGGAGAAGCCCCCTGGCGATGAACCTGCGCCTCAAGAAGGACGCCAACTACAAGGTCATCATGGTTTAGTGCCCTCATTTCACGCCAGTTCTCGTGAGACTCCACCTGTGCATTCAGCTCCAGGTCAGGTCTTTCCGTATCCATTTTCAGCAAATGAGCTTTTGCCATTGGTGTCTAGCTTGGCAGGTGGTACACCCACTCCGTCTATGGCACCTCCTTCATCCTTGAGTCCTTCAAGACGAACTTCACAGAGCTCTATGGCGATGCCTGGACCTTTTTCAAGGCAGAGCTCTACGGCACTGGACCGGCCGACGGAAAGTGAAGAGAAGCTTCCTGCCGTTCCTGAAGAGCATGCTGAACCTGAAGGATCAACGGTTCCTGGAGAATCAGCGCCTGCCTCCCGAAGCACTTGGGAAGTGTTTGAGATGGCCAAATGGGCCTGGCCGCCTGCTGGTGCATCTCCGAATGAAGTTTTCCTGGCTCAGCAAACGGGCGCTGGCAACCACAGGGAGATGCGCTGGAAGCATATGGATGAAGAGACAAGGCAGGAATTCCGTGCAGCCACTGATGATCAGTGGAGCAAATGGGTTGACAGCAACGCCATTGAGGTGTTGAACTTGCAAGACGGCCGGGCAGCCTACCAAGACCTGGAACGAAAAGGTGAACTTGATCGCATCTTGAAGCCCCGGCTGGTGATGACTGACGAGAATGCTTCATTGAGGACTCCTACATGTCCCTTGCCTTTGAAAGCCTCATCCAGGATAGTGATCCCTGGATACAAGGATTTAGCCAACCTGCAAGGAGAGCTTCGACGAGACGCTCCAACTGGAAGCCGCTTGGCACAGCGCCTTTTGTTTTGCATTGCTGGTGCACATCCCCAGTGGAAGTTGAGAAGTGCAGATGTGCGAGCTGCTTTCTTGAAGGGTGATCCCTACATCAAGCGCACCCAGTACATCACTGGAACAGGTGGCTCAAGAGGCCCACGATTCCAACCCTGCAGGATGCCTGGCGAAAGTGTTGAAAGGTGTTTTTGGATTGGCAGATGCGCCAAGAGAATGGTGGCTACGCCTGAGTCGAGAGCTCCATCAAGAGAAGTGGGAACGCTCCATGCTGGATGGCGCCTTGTGGTACTACTGGCTGGACGACAAGAAGAGCCAGAGTCAAGAATTGGGTGGCATCATTGTTGGCCATGTGGACGACCTGTTGTTTGCAGGGTCTGATGAGGCCTTGGCTTCGCTCATGCGCCTTGGCGACGTCTTAGGCTATGGGTCAGTGGAGGAGGAATGCTGCCAGTGGTGTGGCAAGAAGATCTACAGAGATCCCACTACCCGTGAGATAGTTGTCAACATGACCACCTACCACTCTCAGCTCAAGCCCATTGTGGTGCCCCGCCATCGACGAGCGAACTTGGAGTCGCCTTTGACTCCAGCTGAGTCGAAGACCCTACGAGGAGTTTTGGGTTCCTTGCAATGGCTTGTAGCACAAGTCAGGTTTGACTTGGCCTTCATGGTGAGCACCTTGCAGAGTGAGGCCCACACGATAAGCACTTTGCTTCGGGCCAACAAAGCGCTCATCGACGCCAAGAAGGACAGTGACTTCAGCCTGCGGTTTGGCTACATCCCACTGAATAAGGCAGGCATCCTCTCTGTGACTGATGCCGCCCTTGGCAATGTGGACGAGCATGGCAGAGTCAGTGGAGACTCCTCAAAGCGTGTGCATTCGCAGAGCTGCTACTGCATCATGCTGGCCGACGAGCAGCTCTTGAGTGGAAAGCGAGGACGCTTCTCAGTCCTCGACTTCAGATCCCACAGGATCCCTCGAGTCTGCAGATCCTCCTACGCCTCGGAGACCTTGGGCGCAGAGGAAGGGCTGGACGCAGCAGAGCTGAGCCGAGGCTTTGTTGCAGAAGCCTTGGGCTTGCCGATTCACCATCGGCACGGCTATTTGCTGGCGCCCAAAGTGCCGCTTACAGGAGTCACCGACGCCAAAGACGGTTACGACAGGGTGACATCGGATGTGGGCTTTGGCGACCAGAAGTCCCTCATGTTCTCCATAGCGAGCATTCGCCAGCAGCTCCGACGACCTCAAACAAGCTACCGCTGGACTGCGACGAGCAATATGTTCGTAGACTGCGGAACGAAAGCAATGGATCTCACCTCCGCCAGACGCTTTCTCGAGGTGAGTGGAGCATTGAGTATCAGGCCGAGTTCACACGGCAGACCACAAAGAAGAAGAAGAATGCTGAGAGCCTCGAGAAAGAAGAGGACTTGCCTGGAAGGCCCTGCGGTCCTGAAGATTTTAATTTGATGTCTCACGTCCAGCATTTTGCTGTCGCACCTGGTTGGCACTTTAAGGACAATGTTGGTGTTCGTGTGGCTGTGCAAGCAAAAAGCTTCAGGAGCCCTGCACCGAGATTTCAGGTGCGAGATCATCCATGGCGAACGACGATGGCGAGATCATCCCTGAATTCAGCGTTCAGGGAACCCCGGACCCCGCAGTGGCGGATTTTAGAAGAGAAGGCAGACTTGATGGATCTGTCAAGTCACCAGATGCCGCTTTCCGTTCGTGCGAGCAGGATGGTGACGTTCTTTGAACCCCGTAGGCACAGTCTGAAAGAAAAAGAGAACAGGACGGATGTGAAACTTGAGTTTGCGCTTCGGTCTTGCTTTCAGACATGTTGCCGAGTTTGTTTCGTCGCGGCCTAAAAGGCCTTGAGCTTACTGGCACGAGCATAAAGAGGCATAGCAGCCGAACTTTCGTGTGACGACCGTTTCGCACGATCGTAGAGCCCCTTGCTTCCTTATATATACATATTGATACGCTTTTATGTTTCTAGGTGAATGTATATGTGCATAATGTATGTATATAGGCATGTGGTGATTGGCCTGTAGGTATAGTATATGGTCCACCCGACTACACATCCAAACTCTTATCAGCAAATTTGCACTCCCTGTAGTTCATAAACATTTTGGTGTATGTTCCGCAATCCATTGGCAAAGCCGTGGTAGGGGAACGAACGATGCGAAAGGAGCAGGAGAACACCATTTCAATGAAAGGCCCGACAAAACCCACTAGGACCACCCAAGGGGTCACCAATGGAGTGGGGCATCCCTTTTGACGGTCCATTTGTGCCCCGACATCCGACATGCATGCGAGGGACTGCGTGAGCAGTCAGCATTGGGACGAAGTTTGTATGTACGTTGAGGAAGTGGAAACCAAAGCTCCATGAGAGGCACAGCCCAAACTGGTACGCAACATGGACCAATTGAAGTTGCTGGATGACAAGCATGCGCCCAGCCACCAACAATGGCTCTCCCAGTTCTTTGCCGGAAGCTTTCCACCGAACCGTCAATTTGAGTCAACCGGTACAAGAACACACACACACACTCACATACACACACACACACCTGAAAACCCGGTCATACACATGTTCTCCTGGTACTGTAGCTGCCGGGCTTGTCAATGCATGCTGGAGGAGCTTCGTGGGGAGGAAATGGAGGGAGGAGGTCCTTGCCCCCAAAATGCGACCATGGGGTCATGCCAGGGACTGCTAGTGACTAGTGCTTCTCCATGTCTTTCTTAATCTTAGCTTTGAATCGGTCTCCAAGCTTGGACACCGGCCTCCCCAACTCAGACAACGTGTGTGGGATTCTTTGCAGCGGCTTCTCTGTCTTCAATCATCTTGGGGGCTTTGCCGTCTATGCCATGTTCCTGCTGGGCGGTGTGAGTGCTGGTCTGAATTCTTGGGGCCGGGCATTCCAGACCGAGAACCAATTGCAGGCACGGTGGCAGGGGTGACGGAGGGGGGTGTGGTTGTGGTTGGCGAGACGGTTGAGGTGGAAGCTCGCTACTAATTTCAGGTCCCATGACCAAGACAGGATGTGTTTTCCATGGCCCTTGTGAGAAACCGCTGGTTGACTCAACAGTGCTCGGCAGCGGCCAACGGTCTGCCCCGTTGGAGGCCTCCATCCCCTCGGTGCCCTCCGCGGTGCCGGAGTCCGCGCAGCGGATGTGGAACACCTTCCGTGTGAGCGCTGCAAAGTGGACGGCGCCCATGGTCAGCTCCAGGCTGCGTTTGGGATGAATGGGATGGATGGGAAATGCATGTGTCCACGACATTGTTCTGCAGAGAGGAAGAGGTATTGGGGTTCTTACTTCAAGTATAGGAAGAGGTGTCCGTGTGCGCTTTGGAGCTTACTTGCCGCTGGGTGCCCACCAATGTCTTTGGCTATCTGGGGTCTGGCAGTTATACGGGGGTGTGAGCCCCCAAGGGGGACCAGAATGGTTTGCTCAATCTTGGCTTTCCAGAAACGCTACTAGGAACAAAGGGCATCGCTACGAACGGAGCATGGACGCTACTAGGGCCTCCTGGCCGTACTACTAGGAACAAGGTTCGCTACTAGTAAACTTTAGTAAACATGGCTTAACCTTTCAGGCTCAAATCGTTATCGCCCGGGATGGTCATTGAGACTCTCCGTCCCAGACGGCCGTCAGGGCCGAAGCCTATGGCTCCTCTGGTGGCGTTTGCGGGCTCATGGGCCCCCTGAATGCGGTGCTGGAGGGAAGCCAGGGAGAAAAGTGACCCCCCCCCCTTCCATCATGCGGAACTGGCCAGGATTTACTTGAAGTAAGTGCTTTGCAAGTGGATGCTCTCTCTCAAGATTGGTAGCCATCCATTTTCATGATGTCCTGTTCGTTGCAAGTTTGGGTTACGAATTTCTGCCTGGAACAAGCTTTGGGTGCTGATGCTGCGATGACGGAGTTCTCGCGGAGAATTGCTCAGTTGGTCTTAATTGCGGACTAGCCATTTTAAGACCAGTTTTGGCAAATCATAAAGTGCCTCTTCTTGGTCGCAGGTGGTAGGTAGGTGGTGCGCCTCCCGCCTTCTGCATTGTATGCCGATTTTTGAGTGGATGTCTCTGATCATTTTGGCATTGAGTATTTGTTTCGGGGGCAGGACAGCTTCTTGCGCTTCTTGCGCTGGATTGCTCCCTTCGTCCCTTCGTCTGAGGCCTGAGCTTGGGCCTGTCGCTCCACCGCTTCTACCGGCTGCTCCTTGGCGAGAGCGCGTCGAGCGGATCGTGGTCCAGGCAGCATGGGTGGCGCTTGTCCAGACCGTCCCGGCCTTTTGAGCTGCAACTTGGCTGACAGGATGCGACAGGCTGGTGAAGTCAAGAGCAAAGCAAGGAGGATCTCAACATATCTTACAGTAGCAATTCCTAAGGCGATTGTCACCAAAGTGCGGTTTGTGGTGGGAGAATGGCTAAACCAAGTTTCTTTATTTGGCCCCCTGTTTAAGTTTTAAGTCATCCCCACAGCATATCAGTTTTTCGATTTATTCTGTTGACCATTTGACGAGAGCCTTGGACCAGTTGAAGCTGAGGTTGGTGACAGTGGTGAACGTCTTCCAGTCCGGACATTTCCTGATTCAGGACCGACAGGTTAGACTGCGGCGATCATCAGGGTGTCCACCATAGTTTTCTCGTTGCTGTTTGCGCCGTTGGCTCTGCTGGGGGGGTGTCGTTGGAGTGTCCCTCGGCTGTGTCTCAGCCAGACTCATGCATCTCGCGCGCGAGAGAGAGAGAGAGAGCACCATTGTGCGCTTGGAAGATCTTGCAAATAGTATATGGGCGCTGGCTCTGTGCATT